CACATCGTTTGGTAAAAAAGACTTAAAAAGCAATCTGGTTCCACTTATCTAGAACTTTTTATTTTCGGTTTGGTTTGGTTTGATTGTTTTTCTTAATTGGATTTGGTGTTACCGGTTTAAAAATTAAAGTTCTCTCTGTCAACATGTTACATGTTTTTTTTTAATTTAAAACAGCCTGTTATATGTTTTGATTATGTTTTAATGTTTTCATATAAAATTTAATAACTCACATAGAATCATAACTCTATAAGTCTTGTCTTTGATATATGTCTTCAAAAATTCCATGAATCGCCAACAGCTTTGACTTTGCTTCGATTGCTTTGATCAGGATCGTGGAATCAGAGAGAAAGGTGATGGCTTTGTAGCCGCGATGAATCGCAGAGAAGACCGCGGATCTCAGAGCCAGCGCTTCGCCTAGTAGAGGAGAGGCGACATGAGGAATCACAGTAGAGTGGTTAGAGTTATGGCTGGAACTGGTGAAGATCCAGCTAACTCCGGCCATTCTGAAGACCAAGCTGCATCAGTACATCATTTAATTGTCCCATCGCTCAGGATTGGGGGACGTTTGGGGGTGGCTTTTTGTTGACGATTGGGCAGAGATCCATTCTCTTGCGTCTTGGGTTGCCTTGAGAATGGTTTCCTCTGGGGTGAATGTTCTGTTGTTGAAAATCAATTGGTTCCACAGGGTGTAGAGAGTTTTTGCAAGATTGAGGCCTACGGCGAGGTCTGTCATGGCGGAGAGATCGATACCTGAAGCTAGCGGCGCTTGTTCCCAGACGGGCAGTGAAAGAATATATGTCYCTATTTAGTTTCTTAAATGACAACTACATTGGGAATTAATGAAAAATACCCTTCCTATTATTTGCCTGCAATGTGTGACTAACCTGGAAAAAGAGATGAATGATAACAATCACAATAAGAGTGAACGAGAGGGTTCCCTTAAAAAGTACCCTTATTTTGGAAGATTCAAAAAGCTTTTTTTGTATGTTTGTTGTTTTTTTAATTTCTTTCTAGATCATGTTAATGTATGTGCTCAAGGACAGAGACATACTTTTGTACTAATTAAATCAACTTAAACAATGTACTTATATATGCCTTACTTGCTTCTAAATTCTAGCCTATGGAATCTTTTAGGCCTTGAGTGTTTTGCTTGTCTAATGAGGCGTACCATACCTCTATGCTAATCTTTTTTTTGAGTTTTTCCTTTAATTCTCTCTTCCGATTTTGATTTCTCTTTTATTTTCATAGTTGTGTTTTTGTTCATTGTCGCTAGCTATGTGTTCTTGTTCTTCATTCTTGATAAAAACACAAACACAATTTAGTAAGACGCGTTGTTGTTTTTTCTTCCAATTATTGGCAGCTTACTTCAAAGCTCTCCCTATTTGGCTCATGGAATCTATAAGATCAAAATGCAAAACTCTCATCAATGTGAACCATCGGGAGAACCAAATCGGTTTTCTTTCCCCATAGATCAAACATGTTATAACATAGCAAAAGACGATGGATTGTTAATCTTTTCTATATGATGGTTTTGTATGTACAGAACATAAAGTGTTTCGGATGCTGCAAAAGTGGAAGGTCTTTAGTTGTGGAAGTCGATGAACCATCAAAGGGACTCAAAATCCAAGGAAAGGTTGTGAAGAAAGGTGATTGTTCATCAGATGGTTTTTGGAGCACAAGTACATGTGGCATGGACCACAATATCACGATAAGATCACAATCTTCTAACCCGCCTTTCGATCCCCGGTGCAGCACAAGCAACTCTACTGAATTCGTAAACCATGGTAACTTTTCTACTTGTTCAATGTTTTTGTTTACAATTAACAAATGAATTGTAAGTTCATTTGAAAAAAATAAAAAATCACAGAATAAATATAATAGCAAACGCAATCAATCAGAGTTTAAATCGGTGTCATACGTTATAAGAATCGCATATGCATACCACAAACATTATACTAAAACGCAATTCTGCGTTCGCTTTATCCTTCATTAACATTTGATACTTTCCTTAAAAAGTTTCCGTTTATAGAAGCAAAGTAATTTCTTATTC